TTGCACAGCTTTACGCAATAAAAACTGAAATGTTGTTGTTGCTTTTTGGGTAGCCCTTTCGGCCGCGACCCGCGTGCAGCTTGAGCATCATTAGTTAGCCATTTGCTTTCTTTTGTGGCCCCCCTAGACAAACTAAATCATGTAAGCTGCTAGCTTACATAAGCCTTTGGGTCAGCTGCGCTTAATTAATCACAGTCAAACGAAAAAAGAGAAAAACAAAAAAAGATATAAAGAAAAAAAAAAAAAAAATTTGGAAAAATTGACCCAAGTCGATGACAAAAGTTCAATAAACTGCTCGTTAGTTTGTTCGTTTGATTAGCCGCATTTTGCAACGCTAGCTAATGAAAATGAAATTATAAACATTTTATGTAAACAACTAACAGCAAAGAAAAAAAAACCGAATGCCAAAGCAAAATAGCGCAAAACAAGCGAAACACAAAACAAAAAATCACGAAAAAATCGCAAACAGTTTTTTTAATAGCCGCTGCGAACCGCACACAAATTACGCGTTTCATTTCCTTTTCCTTTAACAACAACAGCAACAACAACAGCAACAGCAGCAACGACAACAACCGCAAAAATAATAATTTTAAATGCGCTTTTAAACCAATGAAAAAGCAAAGGCAGGCAAACGCAAGGGAAAAGCTAAATCGCCAAAAAGAAAAGGTTGTTTTCCGAAAAACTCTTGGAAAGTTTCAACATCAAATCAAACATAAACTTTCGCTCCAGCCAAGCTAGACCTAAACTCATTTCCAATCTGTAAAGTCAACAACAAATAAAATAATATTATTATTGCATATTTGTTTCTTGACAGCTGGCAAACATCATCAACAACAACAACAGCAACAACAAGCAATACGTAACCCGGCAGTGGCTGCAAGAGATGCTCAAAACAAATATTTACCCAATTACGTAGTGGGGGTGGGGCGGGGCATGAGGCGGCTGTGTAGGGCTTAGAGTGTAAATCATTTTAGCTAGTACTTCAAGCACGTAATGTGCAGCAGCAACAGCAACAGTAGCAGCAGCAGCAACTGCAATCATGTAGCGGGTATTATCAGCTTGTCACGAAATATGTTACGTATTATATGTGACTTTGGGTATTGAATAAAAATAATAAAAACTGTGTATATAAATATATGTATACATGGTTAAAGCATACTATATAAACTAGCTGAGGATATACGCAGCGCACTTACTCTCATTCAGTTTTCAATTTTCCTCTTGAGAAATTAAGTAATCCCTCACCTCGTCTTGTTTCTATTTTGACATTTTATTATTCAAAAGTCTATTTTAACCCGCAGCAAGGCAACAAATACATATTATAAATCAACTTTCATTTCACTAAAAAAAAAAAATAAAAATAAAAAAATATGAATAATATATATATATATATACAAAAAAAAAAAAGATAAAAATAAAAAACAGAATTTTTTTATTTTTAAATAATTTTGTTATTAAGAATTATATTTTATATTATAGATTTATATTTTTATTTTTACTATAACTGTTATAATTCTATACACAAAATATTATACGATTAAGTTGATATATTAATTAGATAATATATAAAATATTAAACAGTCTTCCACACATTTATTTCTATTTCTATTTATTTATATAAGTCATCTATCTCACCTCCCACTAGATTTTACACTTTATATTTGCAAAGAGGGTATTTCTATCTTTAGTAATCCCTAGCCAGACAGTTCTCTTTTTTTGGCTGAATTTTTTGCTCGCTCTTTTGTTTTTGAGTAATGGCCGAAAACAATGAATCATAAGCAGACAAACACAAACACAAACACACACACTGTGTATAATTAAGCATGCATGTGTGAGTTTGTGTTTGTGCTCAGCTACACCCAGTTAAGTGCAGCAGAAAAATAACAAAAAAAAAAAAAAAAAAAAAGGAGAGAAACACACAGCCTCAGCTATGCGAGCATACGAGTCGTATGAGTTGCATGTGGCAGAACGCCCACATTGCGCATACGCCAGGCTGTGCGAACGAGCGAGAGCTGCAGTTGCAGCAGACGCCGCTGCTGCTGCACATAGGCTGCACTTGGCTTCGCCTAGTCGGACGACTGACTGCAGCATGTTGTGGCTTTTTATGTTGACTTTTTGTTCGATTCGGCGCTCCTCTGCTCGACTGCGCTGCTGGGGCTGACTGAGGCTGGCTAATAAATGTGTCGGATTACGCAATGAACGCACATGACGGACGAGCAGCAGGTAACAGGTAACAGGTAACAATAATGAGCAAACACACCGCCACAGCCAAGAGTCAAGAGCCAACAGCCAGCAAATAGAGAGGCTGTGCGCGAGAGCGAGAAGATAACACCAAATATTGATATTTATGTATGTTGAGGATGTATTTCTTTTTTGTGCTGGCCATCGAGTAGCCAAGCGACACCTACAAAAAGACTTGAAGAACTGCATTTCGTAACAAAGCGGCGCTTCCCAACAGACACAATAAAATTAAAAAAAAAAAAAAAAGAAACCTCAAAAATGCGCATTCATTGCTGCGGGGCTGCGAGGGGATTAGGAAGTTGGTCTTAGCACTCAAAGATTTTAACGCGCATACATTAAAAAAAAACCGAACAGAAACAACAAAAAATAATCAAAATGCACTAAACTTTTTGTTTAGTTGGCTCTTGGCGCTCCACCAACCTGTTTATGTAAGCCCCAATGTGAGTGGGTAACACAATTCAAATCGTAATCAAAACGCAAAAAAAAGAGCCCACAGTTTGGCTCATGAATAAACATACATAAATTTATAATTTTAATTTGAAAAAAAAAATAAAAAAATATATACACTGTAGCCCAGTCTGAGACGAGAGTATAATAGTTGACCATAAAGGTATGTAACGCTCAGCAGATGAGCTTTAATCGTTTATCTAATCGTGATTAGCATAGAGTCATGAAATATTTTGTTTAGCCAATTTCATTTCTCTCTGCTGTGGGAAAGTGTTGCCGCTGTGGGGGAGACTGTAAATTAATCATTTCGCTGGAATTGCAAGCCAATAACTGTTGATAGCTTTGTAAAAGCCTAGAGAATTTAAAATTTAGATAAATATCGAAAATCCAATGACTCATTTATTGACAGCTTTTAGGCAAAAGACATAATACTTGACAAGCATTTTAACTACTTAATATTTTGGTGAATATTTTGACAAGGTAGTTAGTTCTTATATATAAACCAATTATAAGTTTTCTAAAATAAATATATAATACAAACTGAACCAGAGATTGTATTAAAAATCATTTCTGAAACTTTTTACGACAACTCTTTATTTCATGCAGGGTATCTCCTAGTCACGCACTGTTCGCTTGCAGCACTCATAATTGTATTCATTCTCTGGGTTTTTACTTTAGTTGAATGATAATGCGGGCCTTGGCAACTAGGCCTAACTGGCTAAGCCCAGCCAAGTTGAAGCTGGCCAGAAAACACTCCAGCAGCCAGCAAAGACAATTGACATTTGACGCCCACACACGCTGTGCTGTGAGGCTAACGAATAATTGTTAAGAAAGAGAGAAAAAAAAAATAACGAAATACTCAATAGAAATAACATTTAACGATGCTATATATATATATTTATGTGAACGCCATGGACAAAGCCTGACTTGCAACAGACCGTCGCATGGAAAGGAAGGCTATTTGCAGCATGCCGAAGCCATTGAGGCAAACAATTTGTTTGGACTAAATAAACAAGAAAAACTAAATTCGAGTTGGACTTTAAACAAGATCAACAAAGGAGAAGTCATGGATATAAGAGTTGTTAATAAATATATAAATAGATATATGGAGCGATGGACTTGAGGAATGAATAACTTGAAATGCATAATTTTGTGTAAAAATGTTTGAAGATGGCTTTCAATTTAGATAAATTGATAGATAAAATAAAGCATAAAATTTCAAGAGCGAGATAGAGAGAGCAAGATGTAATAAATAGATATAGATAGTTAGTTATAAAAAGAAAAATATAGAAGTAGATTCAAATAAGCATTGAGTAAGTATAATTTGTAATAATTATTAAAGGTTTGATAAATTTTCGTATGTAAAAGTAGATAGATATATGTATAGATATCGATATATAGACAGTTGAATTGTTAAGGAAAGATGCTAAATTATATACCCAATACTATATACAGATATAGAACAGAATAGTTTTTAGATAAACAGTTAAACTTATGTAAGTTTCTATGAACTTTTCATCTCAACTCTTATATCGACTTTCTACAGAAATTATATCCATCAATGATGCTTGCTAGCTTTTAAGGTGTATACAGTGTCACAGTCAAAAAGAGCGAGAGACTAAGACATATGAATTGATAGATAAACTAACCTACTTGACCACAACTCTTGTCTATCTATACAGAATCATAAATATATCATCTATTGAACACATTTCATTCCATTTGAAAAGGTGAAAAGATACAGATTTAAAGAGATAAATCAACAATCTAGATATGTATATACATGGATTATCTATAACTGAAGCTAAATAAATGTATGTATAGCAAATTGAATTTGATCATAAATCAATATATAGATTAGATAAATAACCCTAGCTGTCTTTAAAGAGCTAAAGGTTTATGAATATGGCTCAGCACATATAGACACTATATGACGACGTTTTCTGTCTAACAACAACAAGGAAAGATTAGCCAATGCAAGTTGCTGTTGTTGTTGCTGTTGCCTCTTCTGCTGGCCAATTGTTTAGTGTTTCTTTTTTTGTTTTTTTTTTGGATCGCTGTTTTATGTCTGGCAGCCAACTGGGACTGTTGGCCAAGCTGCGTTGCGGTTGTTTTGCTGTTGTTGCTGTTGTTGCTGGCTGTTGCTGCTGGCAGTTGGTCAATAATTGGCATAGATTTATTTCGGCTCGTTTTGGCCAATTTTCCCAAATGCGAGCGCATAATTTTTCCGCCGTGTTTTCTGTGGTTGTGTGCCAAAGGGGCGCAGCTGATCTATTGTCTACCTAGCGTATGTGCAATATAGGAAAACTTACCCACATCTCCGGCGCTCAAAATTTCTGCTGAATTGCCTGGCATTTGGCTTTCGCTGCCAGCAATTGTTGCTGCCGCTGCTGCTGCTGCCGCCGCTGCTGTAGCTGCTGCTGTTGCTGCTGCTGTTGCTGCTTCTGCTGTTGCTGTTACATTGTCTTGTTGCACGTCTGCCCCCCGCTGCTGTCTAATTGCACCATTAGTTGCACTCGTTTGCGTTGCGCTGGCTGTTGACGCTGTTGTTGCTGCCTCTGCTTGCAACAGCAATGACAATGCCACTAGCAGCAGCAGCAGCAACATGTACGATCCGCGACGCCAAAATGATTCATTGCTTCGATGAATTTCCATCAACGACATCGTTAGCGAAGCATATACCAAAAAAAAAAACTAAATTATATCTATATATATGTTTTCTTATATACGTTGCACGTTGCACGCGGCACTGTTGCCTGTTGCTCCGTTTTAGGCTTGGATTTGGTTTGGCTATTGCTTTTGCTGATTTTCTATCTAGTTTCTATTGTTCGTTTGCACACTTTTCCACAATTGTTTGCCGAAGCTGCGTTGCAATGTGTGCGTCTTGCGGTTGCTGTGGCAGTTGCAGTTGCAGTAACTGCTGCCTCTTCCTTCTGCTTCTGCTGCTGTTGCTGCTGTTGTTGTTGCGTGCAATAATTCAAGTCTTGCTGGCGACTTATCTGTGCTGCTGCCTTGGGAAATCGTACGCCTTGCTGCTGCTGTTGCTGCAAATAGTCGGAAATAGAAAGAAAAGCGAATATCAAATTAGTGAAATTCAAGAGATTTGCAATACTCCACTTAATTAGCCGTTAGACGCTAGAAAGCACGCCATGCTAATCATATCTTAAGACTTGCCCACACACACACACACATAAGTATATAGTCGCTGGAGATTTCAACAGAATATGCATAAGTGGGCATACGAGCTTATAAACTAGCCCAATTTTCAGAAACTCAATTACAGCTTATCACGCGTGCTTACACTATATATTATTAAGGATTGCAGAAGACTTAAGATAAGTGGCGCTATTTGTAGTAACTACTACAAACAAGTAATGCTACTCCCACATCTACCACAGTTTTAATGCTGCTGCTACTGTTCATATTCTCCTAGTATTGATGCAACTATTGCTGCATAACAGAATCTACTACTATAATACTATACTACTACTACTAATTCTTATTCTCATATATAAATGCAGTTGTGTCTACTTATATTGTTCTATAGTAGACACTTTTATACTCTACTCCTATTTTAGCTTCAGCTACTAATCTTTTCTATTCTACTCCTATTTAATTTTCATTTACTACTCTTTCACAATCTACTCTTATTTCATCTTCAACTACTACTATTTCATAATCTACTCTTATTTTATCTTCAACTGCTAACTTTTTCTTTTCTACTCCTATTCTTCATCAGCTTCAACTACTACTACTACTCCTATTTTATTTTCAACTACTACTCCTTCATAGGTTACTCCTATCTCATCCTCAACTACTACTCCTTTATCGTCAGCTAATAGTCTTTTCCATACTCCATACTCCTAATTCATCATCAAGTACTACTCTCATGTTCTACTCCCATTTCATCTTCAACTACTACACTTTTATATTCTACTCCTATTTCAACTTCAAGTCCCACTTGAGCTCTGGCTCACCTTCTAGCTCTACTATTTCCAACTCAAAATTGCACTACAAAGAAAAAGAAGTAGAGCATGCCATTCATATTGTTATTGATGAGAAGTCAAACTCTAACCGAAGACAACTATTAAAATTAGCTAATTTAAACGAAACCAAGTCAATGTCTGCATTAGCTAAATACTATAGTTTATAGCTTTAGACATCATTTCCCAACTGGCGTTAAGCAAGATGTGGAAATTCAGATATATTCACATATCTATACGTATACAAAGTATATATGGAAGTCAGCCTAGTTGCAGTTAACGCACAGACCGTCTCAATGCTGTCTCAGTTGCCTTGTCTGCGAGCGATACGCGGCGACCCATTGGCCATCGGAGCGTGGCATATGAACACATCATTATAAGTCACATTAAGTAAGAGTGATAACTGAGGTCGGCTCAATAAAACATAAAAATAAAGAAACAAATTCAAAATAACAAACAGAAAAACACGCATACGCCCAGTTGTGCATGGCGCCTGACAGTTGCTATGGCATTAAATAGGCATAAGCCACTATATGCATATATATAAATATATATATATATATATATATATATATATATATACTATATGTATAAAAGCAAATCGTTTGGCTTATAGCAATGTGTGTCATTGCCTGTCGAGAAATCAATTAAAAGGCAACAGCAACAAATTGTTTGACTTGCGCAAAATTACGTTGGCAAATTTCACTTTGGTTTTTTCTTTCCTTCTTTTTTTTTTTTTTTTTATTTGATTACAATTTTTCGTTCATAAAATGCAGTTCGCTGGCTGCCACGCCCCATTTTGCGTAATGCGTAAAGCCAAAATATTTGATAGCCATCAATATACATATTTTTGTATGACAATCTATTTCAATTGTCATGCTGATGCGCAGCAGCACCAAAAGCAGAAGAAACCAAAGCCAAAGCCAAAGCCAAAACTCATTAGCATTAGCATTGCCTACCACGAATTATGTGGCATTTCTATCTTTGGCCACGACGCTTACATTAATCAAAAGCCTTTCACAGCCCCGGCGAAAAGAAGAACCCAAAGTTCAATGTACGCCCATAATGACAACGATTTTTAGTGCCTACTCCAATGTGGCTGGCGAATGATTAATCGTAGTATAGAATTAGTATAGAAACAGATAAGAGGCTCAAGCAGGATGCTGGCCAGCAAAAGACAGAGATTTGCATGACAGACGAACCAAAGCGCACACAGTCCCAACATCTCCCTAATTATAATAGCCAGCATATCATATTTTTGCTGCGTATATGAAGGGTATTATTAAATTTCAAATTATTTTTGTTTTTTCTTTTTGCCCATTAAAATATGAAAAGAAGAAGATGATGTGTATATAGTATATGGATAAATCTGTATAAATACATATATACATATATTCGCAGTTTAATTATAAGAAAGCCAAAGCCATTTTTTTTTTACATACTTAGCTTCTTAGGATACCCTGTAGATTTTAAAGAGCGCCTTGATATGGGCTATATAAGGGGCGGTAGGAGGCATATAAAAGATCTCTGTAGATTTAATAATGATTTACAAAGCAAGCTTCTTTCCTTTACTATAAAATTTCATAAGCTAAAAGTTTTCAAATTTTAATGAAAAACCTAAATCGTTGATAGAGAGAGTTTATAAACTTATAAGAGTATTAAATATAATAATGACAATGCTGGTTTTTATATTTATTTTTATATTATATTTTTGAGTTAGTTCAATTGAAATAAAAATATTTATAAAAAATAATTCTTAAACAAAATTTTTTTTTAATTTTCAATAATATTATATAGTATTCGATTAATATATATTCATAAAAAATTTTTGTTTAATCTTTTTTTAACAAGTATATAGCTTCTACATAAATCACTTTCACATACAGGGCATCTTATAGTCTTTCAAAAATATCTATCATCTTGTTACTTGCTTAATTTACTTCTGAATTTTTTTTCCTAATTTTTTTTTACTGATTCTTAATTTGTTTATAGCATCAGCGTTCTAAACTTAAAAAACATGCGCGCAATAAGTTTACAACGAACACGGACCCAAAATGCGAAGCTCCGCGTTGTGGCTTAGACAAATTATATATATAAATTTTTTTTTTTTTTTTGGTCTGCTTGAGCTGTTGGGCAATGGCAGCGGCTGCCTTTGAATGGCAGCTGGAAAACATGGCAGATCGAAGCTCAATCAACGTCAAGAGCGAACAGAACAAATCTGAAGTGCCCGACAATTGGATGACTTTGAATTTGAAGTAATTTGATTGTTTGCCTGATTAAGTGCGCACTGGGAAAGAATCAGTTGAGAGCCAGCAAAGGCAAAAACTTATGACAAACTCAACGCAAAAAAAAAACGCCCACGTCGCGCTGCAAAGGTATTTCACATCTGAGCATTTTTGTTCTCTGTTGTTTTGTGTTTATCTGCTTAAATAGTCGGTTTTATCAGAAATCAGCTTTCGTCTGAAACAATGGGCCGCAGCTGATTAAACATGCGAGATCGTGAAGGAGAGAAACGAGCACTGAAATGTTTATTTAATATCAATACAATTTGATCAGTCAAAAAGAAAAAAAAAAGAAAAGAAATAATAATAATAATAGTGATATCTAAACAAATGGCAAATGTAAACAAGCTGTTGTAATCCCCTGGGAATAAATAAATACAAATCAAAATCAACTGAGCTGCAGCACCTTGAGGCTGACTGTGTCGCCCATAAATTCAGTCAGCTGCAACTGTTATCGATCGACTATACTAGAAATTAATCTGAGCCATAAGCATTATAAATAACGAACAAACAAGACATGACAAACCATTAAGTTGAATCGACAGTAATTAATCCATTTATAAGCTAAATAAGCTAAGTAAGCTTTCAAAACTTGTACCGATCAAATTTCTCGAAACAACAAACTTTAGTCGCATCTTTCAGTTAATTAATTGTGGAAAGCCCGACAGCTACTAGTCACAGAAGAGATTAATTATAGAAATATATACAAGTATATAGGTGTGTATATATAGCTAGCTGGCATATCTAATGGCGCCGACAAAAGCTTGGCTGCTTCCTCGATGCCGACTTATTACAAAATATAGTTATTAAGCTCATAAGCACATGCGCAATTAGAAGAATATGCTAATAATTCTATAGACAAGTATACACAATATATGTATGCATATAGTATATGGTATAACACGAATCACAATTTGCCAGCCATGAAGGTGAAGCGCAAAGGTAGCAAAGGTTGTTTTTTTGAGTTTAGTTTCGATTGTTTTGAATTTCAAGCCACGCATGGCATATACGACATCAGATGTCGTCAACTTCCTTTTCGTACGTAATAAAATAATTATGAAAAACAAATATTAACACACACAGGCCCAACTTAATAATACAAATAATGCATAAATTCAGCCGACTGAGAGAGGGAGAGATAGAGACAGAGCGGGGGCTTCACTGTACTTCAAGTATCCGCTGCTGCCGCTCGCTGATCGTGCATTCAAATCGACCCTGAACCGAGCCGCAGCGCACGTAAGAATGCTCCAAGTTCCATTGTTATGTTTGCCCCCATGGAGAGCTATAATTTGTATCGGATATTTACACGTATCATTCTAATGAAATTCACACACACACACACACACACTCTCTCACACATGAATCACAGTTGACAAGCACTTTAACATGTTGTAGAAAACAAATTCATTTGTTTAGAAGGGAATTTTTTAGTAGCAAGCTAACAAATTGCTTTTAAGGCTTACGGCAGAGTTAACACAGACTTTGACATGCTGTTAAGCAGTATGTCATGTGCTGTACGCATATGCTTGTCAAATTTAATGTCAAAATTTGACACATATTTTAATTAACTTTTATTTCTGACAGAAATTATAGGCAAAGGTCTTGTCAAAATTAGTAGAATGACAAACGTGTACGCTATGGGCATATATAACTGTTTGAATGGATGATTCATCAAACTGCATGTCAAAGTAGATGTCAAAGTGCAAGTCAAGCCTTACATATTATTTTAGACCTCTTTCCCATCGCTACAATCATTTAGTTATATATTAATTCCATCTT